CCTCCGGAATCGCAAGTGTGTAGGTATTCACAAACGGTAATATAACAGTTTTTTTGTGAAATTCCTAAAAAACCCTTAATGAACTCCCTAATTTAAATACCCAAACCCAACCCTAAATATTTAGTCTACCCAGTCGCGTATCTTCTTCCTCTTTAGCAAAACAACAAATTTTTTTTTCTTCTCTCTCTCTACCTCTTCCATTCAATGGAACCTGTTGTTAATTGCAACTGTGGCCAAATTGCTCCTTTAAAACTTTCGTGGTCACCATTTAATCCGGGTAGAAGATTCTATTGTTGTAGATTTGGGAAAGCTGGCGATGGTGGATGCAATTTTTTTCGTTGGTATGATATTGAATTGTCCGAACACTATACCAAAGTCATGTATGAATTATTAAAGAGGGTAAAAAATCATGAAGAAGAAAAGTTGAAGTTGATGAAGAAACAGAGGATTTTGGTTTGGCTGCTTGTTATTGTAGTTGTGACTTGGTTTTTGAGGGAATCTTCTATTATTTAGGTGTATGATATATGTATATGGGAATGTATTTCGCCTTTATTTTACTGCAGTGTTGTTTATGATTTATGGCCAATGTTGCCTATTCAATGTAGTTGAAATTTTCAATGTGTATGATGAACTTTTCAATGATCAAATGTGTTTTAGTTTCTGCAAAAAAATTAGACAGCAAGGTTCATACATTGAAATGTACTAAACTAACAAAAGCAGGTTCAATAATTTGAAATGTACTAAACTAACAAAAGGAGGTTCAATATTTTGAAATGTACTAAACTAAAAAAAGGAGGTTCATATACATCCCATAATAATGGTTCAAAATACTTCACAAAACAAGGTTCATACATACGACCAAATGACCAACATTAGTAGGTTCAAAATACTTCACAAAATATGGTTCATACATATGACCAAATGACCAACATTAGTAGGTTCAAAATACTTCACAAAATATGGTTCATACACATGACCAACAAAATACAAGAAAATTCTTCCTAAATTTGACTTTGACAAGAGTCAACTGGTGTAGATGAAGTAGAGGTCCCAACTTTTATTTTTTTGTTAGAAACTGCAGCATCCCTTTGGTTTTGAAGTTGATTCCCTGTCACAGCTCTTTTCCCTTTCCACTTGAGACCATTTGGTCTAAATCCAAGATCTACATTAGTTTGTGCAGCATTCATCAAGTTTGCACCAGTTGAAATAACTCTTTCACTTGGCCTACCAGGCTAGAAAATACTTATAGTCCGTAATGAATCATCCAGAAGCATAAAGATAGAAATTACATTTAACTAATGTTGACTTCTCACACTTACATTAAGGATACTAGTTCCAGTTTGTGTGTCTGTGTACAAACCAAAACCAGAATTTCTGGTTCTTTTCTTTCCAACAGAAGTAGCAAGTGATCTGGCAGTAGCAGAAATAGCTGCACCAGATGTAACAGAACCAGTTGTACCAGCAACTGAACTTCTTCCTCTTCCCCTACCTGCTCCTCCACCTCTTCCCCTACCAGCTCCACCACCTCTTCCCCTACCTCTTACTGATGGTGTGTTCCTTCTTATCTTTGATGTTTCAGCACACAAGGAAGATGAGGCCCTTGGAGTTTGGGTTGTGGTAGTTGATGTACCTGCAGCTTGGGTTGTATTACTTTGACTACCAACTGGTGTGCTTGATTGTGTGCTTGTTTGTCCCTAGTATATGATTGCTAAGTCATTAATCAATACAATGAAAATAATGACAATATTAGAAACAAATTGAATTGAAAGTCATCAAACTTACCCTTAAACTGCATACTGACTTGTTGTGACCAATCTGATGGCAAATTGAACAGGACATCTTAGCACCCTTCTTTGAAAGTTTTTCCCACTTCTTTGGTTCATCCTTGTCCTTTCTTCTGCATTTTTTTGGCCTACCAGGCATTGGTTTACCTTCAGGAGGCTCAATTGGTGGATTGGTAGACTCAGCCCACATTTGTATGCTTGGAATTAGCTGAATATAGTATTGGTAAGCAGCCAGGAAAGTATCTTTCCTATACCAGTGTTCAACATAGTCTTCTGCTTCCTTCCTAATCTTATAGAAAGCACATATTGCATGGTGACATGGTATACCTCTTAACTGCCATAATTACCTTCATCTTGGCTGTATATACAAGTGATCTTCCTACATACAAGCCCCAATTAACCCTTATAACCTCTTGCAACTCATGAACTGTGATGTTTGGACTTGAGATGATTCTATCTTGGAGCTTTCTTGCAATTTACTTGGTTGTGCAAAGTTTGTTCTTGTTCTTTGTTGGGCATTTATGGACAGGTATATAGGTCTTCACAGTAAAGTTCCCTGAATCCCTGTCCTTACTAGCATATATTTGCCACTTACACTTTTCATGTCTACACTTAGCTCTTACTCTATCTTTCTCATTAGGTCTAAGCTTTATAGACACTTTATATTGAATAGCATAATCAGCAATAGCTTTCCTAAATTCTGTTGCATTATCAAAGATCATGCCCAACTCAAACAGAGGAATTTTAGCATCAAAGTCATACCCGATCTTTTGACTTCTTCTTCTAGGAGGAATATCAACACCATGTTCAGCAAGTGGGTCTAACTCTTCATCACTGTCTACACTCCCAACATCTGAGTTGTCCACATACTCTTCATCCCCACCTAGCTTTCCAACATATTTATCCTTCTTATTTATCCCTATATCTTCAAACCCCTTATCAATTCCAGCCTCACCAAGTATTACCTCTTCTGTAAAAATAGGTTTTTTCCTCTGTTTCCTATTACTTTGTGATCCAGCATCATTCACCTTGCTCTTCAACTTGTTTCTCTTTACTTCCCTAGCAGCATCCCTCACAGATCTTAACTCATCATCTATCTCACTGTCATCTTCTTCTGGAATGTCTTCAAGGTCATCTTCACCAAAATCTGCATCTTCATCTTCAAGATTTGTCTCCTTAAACTGGTTGTCATGCTCTGCAGCTGCACTCTCTTCAACATTTATATCCTCTTCTAAAATTGTAGACCTAGGTTGTTCTGCATTTACATCACTGCCCTCAGCAGTATTTACTTCAATATCCTCATCAGCATTTACTCCAATACCCTCCTCACAATTTACTCCAATGCCCTCATCGGTATTTACTCCATTGCCCTCATCAGTTGTTACTCCAATACCCTCATTACAATTTACACCAATACCCTCATCAACATTTACACCAGCCCCCTCACCAACATCTACACTAACCCCTGGACCACCCCTAATTTCTGTAGCCTGGTCACTATCACCAACTTGTGAGGAAGGTAAATATCCCACAACTACATCCTCCTCCACAACCTCTAAATTATCTATTGCATGACTCACATAGACATCAAAGCGATCCCCATCCTTCGGGTCTTTAATCAAATTTAGTAGTTGGTAGTCATTTTCAATTGGAAAGAACTTCTGAGTTTTAGGACATAGGACAAATAACCCACCAACAGAGTTGTAGCGCATTTCAGGGGTCTCTTTTATGTAGGACACAAGCTCGGGCAAAGAGAAATGGTCTTTGTCCACCACATGCCCTATTACTTCACCCTCCCCCACATACTTTTCATCAATAAAGTATCCCCCATGATGAAAAACAACACCAATATATTCGTCCATGTGACTTTATACTGAAAATGACAAAACACAACCAGTCAATATTCCCCGACATTTTCTGATTTTCAAAACAAAAAAAACCCTAATCTAATAGCACCATAACAAAACCAGTTGTGATAAAATAGAAAAAAGCAATAATAAAATATAAACATACCTTTATGCAATAATCGAAGCCTTTACAGCTGACTCCCTTTTTCACAAAAGATCCACTGCTAAAACCCTAAAATGGCCTTCCTTCAGGTGATAAATCTTGAACCAACTTAAAATTCGAACAAAGAACAACTAATCATACTTAGTAAGTGAAAGAAATCTTTAATTTTGCAACAAAAATGCCGATTGAACCAAGCTTAATCGAAGAGATGAAGGGTTAGTCGGTGAGAGAGAGAGAGAGGGACTAGACGGAAGAAACGATGAAGATTTAACGTTATGTTTTATGTTTTATGTTTCTAATTCTTTATTTCTTATTGTTTTTCCACGTGTCAGCTTCTAATTCGTTCTTATAAAAGACACCGGTAAGTGTAATACACGCGACGGGGGCTGGTGAGGTCGGGTGTTTATAGAGTTCAGTTTTTAAAACGTGATATGTTTAAGTGAAACATGGCTCGGTTGAGGTGTTCAACTGACCGTTGTGGACAACTTAAAGGGGCTATTTATGTATTTCGCCTTTGTTGAAACTTTTCAGTCGAAATTCTGGTGATTCTACTTTTAATTTATGTTATTAAACAAATATTTGAAGAATCGTGATAAAATTATTTTTATGTTTTATTTTCAACTATTAAGTCACATATATAATAATAATTTTCATTGGATATTCCCACATAAGTTTTCGTAACTCACAATAAAGCATCTGAAATTTTTTGTGAGGCAAAATTTATTTGTTTAAGAGCCTAACTAATTGAAAACAACATTCCCTATTTTTATTATCTAATACTCCCTCCGTTTCAAATTAGATGAGGTACTTTTCTTCTTAGTTTGTTTCAAAATAAATGATACATTTCTAAATTTGAAAATAATTCAACTTGAAACTCTTCATTTTATCCATTTTACCCTTAATGAGAAGCTTTTATAACTATATAAATATCATGCCCCACAAAGCTTTTACCCCTTAAGCTTCTAAGACCACCAGTTTCAGAAGTTTCTTTTCTTAAACTCCGTGCCGAGTCAAACTATCTCATCTAAATTAAAACAGACGGAGTAATATTTATGTATTTTTTAAAATTATATATTTATTAATATGCGTGTACCCTCTAGTTCCCTTAAAAGCATTTTACTCCTAAAAGGTATTGTTATAAAAATATAGGGGTCAAAAGTAATATGGAAAATTGTAGGGGTCATCAAAAGTAAAAAGGCCGGTAGATCTCCCTACTCCCAACAAATGATTAAGGTAGCCTACTGCGTAGAGGGCACACTACTCCCTTATAAGGGTCAGAATTTATAGAGTTGAGTAGTAGACTGAAGTGGGTCAGATTAGAAAACGAAAAAGGGAAAAAAATGGAGAAAATGAACCAGGCTTTGGAGAAGATGAAAATGCTGGTGGGAATGGATGTAGAAGATGAAGAAGCAGCTCCTCAGCAGGAATCTTTCATGGATGATTTTAATCGCAACTGCACTTTATCTACCAAACAGGTGTGAAATTTGGTTGATTTAATTTTGTATTTTGATCATTTATCTTGTCTTAGTCTTAAAAATACAGTCAATACCTCTTTAATTTTTGGTTGAGATGGACTTACTTATTCATATGATCTAATGTTGATTGGTAAAGTTAGTATTTATGTTTTTATTTGGTTGTATTTTTGAGCTAAAATACATAGAATTTGATTCATTGCTGTGTTACGTGAATGGGGAGAGACATGAGTGTGGGCAATAGATACTAAGTATGGATCCTTTGTAATAGCTAAGAACTCTAGGAATATCTGAATGTGCACGTCCACGTATCTGATGTACTAGAAGTTGGGGTCCATTAACACAGATTTAAATTATGAAAATGTCTACTTTTGTAATTAAAAATGTAAGAAAGGGAAAATAAAAAGCTAGAACTGATGACATCTAGAGGTTGATGCTATTCACCTGTTTGACCGATCTTTTGGGAAGCACTTTTTTTTCCTTTTGAGATTTGAGGTGTTTGGCCACAAACGAAAAGTATTTTGGATAGCTGCATTGTAAAGGCATTTGTTCAAGTAACTCAATGCTTTTAGGTTTTGAAATAATTATTGTAATTACATTGTGTTTGATGACTTGAAGGTAGAGCTAGAATTAGCAAAACTTAGAAGAATGGAAGAAATTCTAGAAACTCTAGCAACGGTAAAAGCCTGTTGTTTTTAACTCACTTGATCTATCCTGCTTGACGAGTTGTACTACCTGCTAAAAAAATATCCTGCTGGAATAGTACTCCACTAACATAATTTGAAAGCACCAAGAGAAACATTCTTAACCTTAAGCTTAGAGCTTTTTCTTTGCTAGCTTTTGGTGCAACATAGCTTTTGTACAGGATATAGATGCCATGTTAGATATAAGACTACTGGAAAGTTAAAGCACTTGCAACAGGGCTAAGATATATATTCTTAAAATTGGTGAAAACACATTATTTTACCTTAATCATTTTTTTTTGGGTGAAAACACATGAGGTTGGAACCTAGACGTGGACTAATTTCTTCCCCATTTATGGTTAAAGTATTGTACAAATCCTTAGATTATTTTGACCGATGCAGATACTTGTACAGAAGAAGTTTTTCAATCTTAGCCCGTCACTTGAAACATAATATGCTTCTCTCTCAACTTCCTTACAAGATTCAGCAAAGCAAATATCATCGTAGGTGCGAGAATGATTTTCTCAATTAGGATGGATGGTAAGTTGAAGAGAAATTGATAATTTGATGATCTTGGGAAGATTGTACTATGACATAGTCAATTTGTTTGAATTGCACTATTTGATGTTGAGATCAACAGGTGTAAGGTATCAAGAAGTGATATGGTACTGAATCCTGGTTTAATACTCATTAATAAGACACCTTACCATATAAAAAAGGAAAAAATCTGATAGTGTAATACATTAATTATTATGGACAGTGATATTACTAAAATATACAATATATAATCTTTAGTGGGTATGGAAGTAACATGCAGCTGATACAGAAAGCATATGACAAAAACATGCGGTTGATATAGTTAGCAGATGAAGAAAACATGCAGCGCATATAGCTGGTGATTTCTAATATGCAGCCGGGGGGAGGGGGGAGGGAGCGAGTGAGATTTGAGTGTTATTCCATCTTAACTAAGCCAAAGGCAATAATCTTTATGGAGATTAGGATGAGCCTTCATGAGTGTACATCAACATATGTGATAGTGCCACATTGCATGAAATCACAGCATTTTCTTTTGTATTATTTTTATTATGGTTTTTTCTGGTTCTTAAAGTACTTTGAAGAATCCTGAACATTTAATACCTGTTAGACATAGGTATATGTAGGAAAAATGAAGAATCCCGGTAAGGTTGGCACCAGAGACAAGAAAGAATTCACAAATAGGCTAGATAGAGGGCCTGGAAGTTCGAATCACTAGTTAAAGAGCGAGCAGACTTGTTAACTTTATGCAGACGTGGTTGTAGTGTGTATTGACTTGTGAATATGCAATTTTCTTTGTTGGGGTTTCCAAAATTCCTCTCTCCTTTTTAACAGGATCCGTATACTATCACTAATGGGCTAAAAAGAAACTACTTCGTTATGAGCACAACATGGAAGATGTTCAAGAAGATAAAATGTGTGGTTTTTGTGAGATGTAATCGAGGAGAACTAGATATGGTGATAGTGGAACTTGCACTATCCTATGAGTAGATTAGATCTTGCCGAGTTCAATTTGTTTCTATTTAGAATGTGATGCTTCAGTACACTTATACTGAATTTTACTTTCATAAAGTGAATAGGAACACTAACTGCACTATCATATGTGTAATCAGTGACCAACTATGCTCATTTTTTTTTCTCAACAGAGGCTTTATGGTTTTGCTATATGCTTGTCAACTGGTATCGCCTGTACTCTCTTGGTGAGTTGCACTTCTTTAAATCCTTTTATTCTTTCATTTCTATCGCAAGTTCTTTTTGGTTCTTGGGATCATTACATGGAGTTGCGGATGCATAACCTGTTGGTGCAACTTCTTGTAGACAAAAAAGAATTTCATTGTTTATACGAGAATCGAGACTGTTGAAATGGGCTTTTTTCATATTGCAACATATCTTTTATACGTGCTTTGCTTTTCAAACTGTACATGCTTGTTGCTTTCAGCTCATTAGAGCTAAAAGACTGTTGGATAGTTATGCACATAGCATGAATTATTCCTAGTCCCACATAGAATAGCAGTATGATATGTATTGTATAAATAGGGCTCATTGTATTATAATTAAATAGAAAATTAATAATATATTTTTCTCCCGTGCTTTCTCACATGGTATCAGAGCAATCGCGAGAGATTTATCGCTGTGCATAAACTCCAACGACACCGGGAAGAGAAATCAGTCAACCGGAAGTTTTTTTTTCCAGCAAACACAGGTCTGCCGCTAGTAAGAAGCTACTATTCGTCAGTGTTGTGCAAAAACCAACACCACCACGAAGTAAATTGGCCTCCGACCACCAACCCATAAAAAAATCTCCGTCAGAACACTCTCCACGCTCCCCCACGCGCCGCCGGAAGAAAATTTTCCAGCGAAGTTCCGACATCACACGCCGGCGCGTGGGCCACCTTCCGGCCATTTTTTGGCGATGACTCTTTAGGATAGCTTGTTCCCCTTGAAATTTCGAGCCTACACATCCAATTTAAATCAAATTCCGACCACTTTTATATTTTTCCGGCGTGAACAGTGATTTTTACGGGATTTTTTTTTCGGCGTATACATTATAATAGCATTCGTATCAGAAGCCTTTGACTCACAATTCGTTGGATACAATGCATTGAATCCAATCCAGATGGTTTCTTTGGTGGAATATATTGAGTTCCTTCAGTACAAAACATGTAAACAAACATCTTCAGGGATAGCTTCCGTTGTTCAAACAGATAGTACAGTGACTTGTGTATCCCAATCTTCAACCTCTGAGTCTTAGGTCATTGATTCAAGTGCATCTGATCATATTTCTGGTAACAAATCTCTTTTCACTACTATTTCATGTTCTCAATCTCTCCCAATAGTCACAATGGCCAACGAGTCTCAAATCATGGCAAGTGGAATAGGTCAAGCAAGTCCACTTCCTTCCTTACTTTTAGATTCAGTACTTTATGCTCCTGGTAGTCCTTTTAATCTCATACTCCCTCCGTTCCAATTTATGTGAACCTGTTTGACTGGGCACGGAGTTTAAGAAAAAATGAAGACTTTTGGAATTTGTGGTCCTAAACAAGTCAAAAAGGGGCCCAGAGTATTTGTGTGGTTATAAAAGCTTCTCATTAAGGGTAAAATTGTAACTTTAAGCTAAATTGTTACAAAATTTAGAAAGGGTTTATTCTTTTTGGAACGGACCAAAAAGGAAATAGGTTCACATAAACTGGAACAGAGGGAGTAGCTGTTAGTCGCTTAGCCAAATCACTTAAATGCTCTGTTTATTTCTTGATGACCTTGTTTTTATATAGGAACGCAGTACAGGGTAGATCATTGGTACCGGGCGTGAATCAGATGGACTTTATTACCTTATCCTTGCAAAATCACACGGACTCACATCTTGTCTTCCTTCAACAATTTGTCCTATTACTGATTCACCAGATTTATTAAATAAATGGTTGGGACATTCCAGTTTATTAAAACTTCAGAAAATGGTACCTGGTTTATCTCACTTGTCCACTCTAGAGTGAGAGTCATGTCAGCTCGGTAAGCATACCCGCTCCCACTTCCCTCGGCGTCTTGATAATCGAGCAGAGTCACCTTTTACTTTAGTCCATTCAGATGTTAGGGGACCTAGTTGGGGCAGTTCTACCTTGGAATTCCGCTACTTTATCAGTTTCATTGATGATTATTCCAGGTGCACTTGGATATTTTTGATGAAAAATTGATCTGAGTTGTTTTTTATTTTCCAGACCTTCCACGCTGAAATTCAAAATCAATTTGGGGTTTCTATCCACACATTTCATAGTGATAATGCCCTAGAGTCTTCCTCATTATGTCGATTTAAGTTACCATTGTCTGACATCACCCCATTGTGCATTTGTATCAACTTTGTCCTCTGTTTCCATCCCTAAGTCTACAGGTGAAGCACTGTCTCATCCAGGGTGGCGACATGCTATGATTGACGAGATGTCTGCTTCACATATGAGTGGTACTTGGGAGCTTGTTCCTCTTGCTTCGAGTAAATCGACCGTTGGTTGTCGTTGGGTGTATGCAGTCAAAGTTGGTTTAGATGGCCAGGTTGATCGACTTAAGGCTCGTCTTGTTGCCAAAGGGTATACTCAGATACTTAGGCTCGATTGTAGTGATACTTTCTCTCCCGTGACTAAAATAGCATTAGTCCGCCTTTTTCTATCCATGGCTGCTGTTCGCCATTGGCCTTTCTATCAGTTGGATATTAAGAATGCTTTTCTTCACGGTGACCTTGAGGATGAGGTTTATATGGAGCAACCACCTGGTTTTGTTGCTCAGGGGAAGTCTAGTGACCTTGTATGTCGGTTGCACCGGTCCCTCTATGGTCTTAAGAAGTCTCCTCGAGCCTGGTTTGATAAGTTCATCACAGTTATTCAGGAGTTTGGCATGATTCGTAGTGAAGCTGATCACTCTGTGTTTTATCGGCATTCTGCTTCAGATCTCAATATTTATCTGGCGGTTTATGTTGATGATATTGTTATTACGAGCAATGATAAGGATGGTATTACTAAATTGAAGCAACATCTCTTTCAGCACTTTCAGACTAAGGATCTTGGCAGATTAAAGTATTCTAGGTATTGAGGTCGCTCAGTCTAGCTCAGGTATTGTAATCTCACAATGGAAGTATGCCTTAGACATTCTTGAGGAGACATGAATGACATGCTATAGACATGTTGACACTCCTATGGATCCAAATTCTAAACTTCTATCAGGACAGGGGGAGCCGCTTAGTGATCCTGCAAGATATAGGCGGCTCGTTGGTAAATTAAATTACCTCACAGTGACTAGACCTGACATTTCCTTTCCTGTAAGTGTGGTAAGTCAGTTCCTGGATTCACCATGTGATAGTCATTGGGTGCAGTTGTTTGCATTCTTTGATATATAAAATCAGCTCTAAGAAAAGGATTATTGTTTGAAGATCGAGGCCATGAGCAAATTGTTGGGTACTCGGATGCTGACTGGGTATGATCACCTTTTGATAGACGTTCTATGTCCGGATATTGTGTTTTATTAGGAGGTCATTTGGTGTCCTGGAAGAGCAAGAAACATAATGTGGTTGCTCGGTCTAGTGCAGAAGCAGAATATCGAGCACTGGCTGTGGCAACATGTGAGCTAGTTTGGATCAAACATTTGCTTAATAAGTTGAAATTTGGTGGTATCAGCAAGATGGAACGTGTGTGTGATAATCAAGCTGCCCTTCATATTGAATCAAATCCGGTGTTGCATGAGAGAACTAAACACATTGAGGTTGACTGTCACTTTGTCAGAGAAAAGATACTCTCAGGAGATATTGCTACAAAGTTTGTGAAGTCGAATGATCAGCTTGCAGATATTTTCCATCAAGTCCCTTACTGGTCCTCGTATTAGTTACATATGTAACAAGCTCGGTACATATGATTTGTATGCACCGGCTTTAGGGGGAGTGTTAGATAGTTATGTACATAATATGAATTAGTCCTAGTCCCACATACAATAGGAGTATGATATGGAATGTACAAATAGGGCTTATTGTATTATAATTGAATAGAATATGAATAATATATTTTTCTCCTGTGCTTTCTCACAGACTAAATTTTTTAGTAATTCTGTGCTGTTTTGAATTGTGATGCAACTCTAACCTTGTCTTGTGATATCTAATGGGCCTAGGGGACGATGCTTCACTTTCTTTGCTATTCTTCCCTTAAATGTGTCACAATTGTTAGCATTTAGAGCCTGTTTGAAAAGCCACCTAGAAATTGGATTTGAGTGTAATTGGATGTAGTTACACTGTTTGGCATGTTTGTTTGACCAAGTAATTACTTGGTCAGCATGGAATTGAGTGTAAGTAGAGGTGTAGTTACATGGTAATTACACTGTGTAATTACCAGGTTACTTTTTAATTTCTTTCTTTTTGTTTTTATTTTAATTTATTTTCTTTATAACTTTTTATTTCCATTATTTTAATTTATTTTACTTTTTAATTTCGTTTTAAATTTTAAAATATACTTTTTTTGTACATTATTAATCTTTTATTTCTCTACCTTATTTATTGTGATTCCATGTAATTGTTCGTATATTTTATTTCTTATTTGTTTTATTTTCTTCATCTAGCTTAACTGCATTATTATTCTAATTTTTTAAACTACACCTCCTAATATTAGAAATAATGAGTCATTAACAAATTTGGCATATAATGAATGATGTTATTAGAATAGAATTTTATTGTTGAAGGAGATTATAAACTTATAATATATCCTAATCTTAAGTTGTATTGGAACTTATTTTTATTACGTTGAAATTTGACATATGTTAAACTTTTTTTTCTTTTGGATTTTGAAATTGTGTTATATTTATGGTTCCAATTTATTTGTTTTAGTAGTATTGACTTGTTATTTCACATTCATGTTCATTTTTTTTAGTTAGAATTGATAGATTAGTTTTGTCAAACATTTGAATAATGTTATGACATTAAATTTATATACAATAATTTATTTGATCAAACATGCATTCCACGCTGTTCATACAAAATATATGTTTTTAGTTTTATAACTAATTTAAAAAATAGATATCATTATTTTTACAATATTAGTTATAAATATATGATTACAAATTAATGTATATTCAAAAAAAATAATATGCATCTTAAATACCAAATCTAATATCATTTATACTTATAAAAAAATATTTATTGGCGTATATTTATTATATTAACTTTTAAGTTTTGATA